GGAGGAGGAGGGAGGAGGAGGAGGAGGAGGAGGAGGAGGATCAGCTACAGCTACCAAAGAACTAACTGCAAGAAAGAAGATACACAAGTCTGAAATGGAATACATAAGAGAATCATAAAACTGGAAGAAACTTTAGAGACGATGGGGGAAAAGGCCCAAGGAAGATATGCAACCTGAGGTAATAAGAAGCAATCAAAAGGAAATATACTGGAAAATGAGTTTTTGGTTATTTTACAGTAGTTCCTGAATACCATGATCATGGAAACCAATGAAAACTTCCTTAGATGATACCAATTTTATATCCCACTTCCCTCACATACCACTAAAAGTATTCTGAATTCCAGTATTTTTCTTTAAATATCTCAGGACAAGACAAAAATCCTTTGATAGGCTACCTGTCCCAAATTTTCCCTTGAAAAATGTTCACATTAACTACAGAGATTCAGGGATTTAGAAGTTATGATTCTTTTCCTGAATGATTTTTTTTAACTACTTATGAATCAACTCATATGCTTCATATACAACTTAAAAAGGTAATGTGGAAGTCCTTTTCAAGGCATCTTCGGGCTTGCTTTGTAATCTGACCGGTTGAGAAGTATCAGCAGGGCCTGAGAGAAACAAACCATGATTTCTTTTCACAGACCAATCTCTGCTTTTCTAATTATAACCCTATTAGTTCTTAACAACACTTACTCCGCTTTCTCCAGTAGGTCTTTCTTGGCTGATGATCTTCCTATTTTATTTCCGTTTTACTGCCTTCAATTATCTTACTTTCGGTTCCCGGCATACCATGTGAATGCGTGCTGTGTGAAAGATAGAAAACAACAATAACCATCATTAAAGCCGTCTTAATAACTGGAGTTCAGTCTAACGGACTCCAGATCTGCTTAGAAAACCTGTAACTTTCTGTGGGATTAGAGCCAGTAACTGCTTATATTCTTTCCAGCAAAAGGAAGAAAGGGGATACATAGATTGAAAGTCCACCCAAGACCCTGAGATGCGGGTGCATATAACACGGCATCTATTTAAAGAAATCTCGCTTACATTGCAATTTTCACTCACAGGCTTCAGAGTCTAAACTAGCTGTTCTCAAACTGTTTGGTTTAAGGATCTTTTGACACTTGTTGCATGTTAGCGTAAGTAACATTTTCTTAAATGAAAAATTACTGTATTTTCCCAAACAAAAAAATTTAGTGAGCAGAGTGGCATTGTTTCATATTTCACAAACTGCTTTAGTGCCTGGCTCAACGGTAGACAGCTGACTTATCTACATTTAATCAGTTGCAGTATCACACATCATGTAGCCTTTGGAAAGTCCTCTGTACATTCATGTGAATTTGAGAGTAAAAAAAGGTAAATAACTTCATAGTATTATTATGATCAAATAGTTGTGTTATACAATCTCAAAAGTTTAACAAAACCATCTGCATTCAACAGGAGGATGGGAAGTGAGCACAATTAATGTTCTGGTCTACTGTCGTACGGAAAGTGCAATCAGCGCTGCAGCGGGATTTGCCGAGCCTGATGCATGGACAACGCCTGTGGGAGAAATAATGCACTGAGCCCTGTCCAGGGTTTCACATACCTTTCATCTAATCCTTACAACAATCTGAAAGGTATATATTATTTTTCGCCATGAGGAAACAGGCTTAGAGGTTAATAAGCACATTTCCTGAGGCTGCACAACTGATAAGTGTTGGAGCTGAAGTTCAATCTCAGGTCTGGTTTCAAAGCCCATGTTCAGTAAGCCACAATTATGGCTCACTTCACAACTGGAAATGTAGACAAGCATCCGATTTATGTAAGTGAAAGAGCTTTCCCAAAAGGTAGCATCCGAATAAGAGTGACTGTGTTTACTGGTACCCAAAGGATTATAACTAACTGACCCATTTGGATAATGTAATTTAATTCCTCCAAAAGGTAAATATAAATAAACTTTTCAAAATGCAGCCCTTGCTGATGTCAAAATTCAGTGAAAAATACAATATCCTTGAACTCTGACAACTTTTAAGGAAACAGATGTTTTCATTTATTTACACAGTATAATTAGATTCAATATAGAAAAAATAAGGAAATATAGAAAACAGATTTTCATTTAACTTATTTTTAAAAATGGGTAATTTACATGGTATAAAACTCAAGTTACAGAAGTGTATAGTGAAAATGATCCCTCCTACCCACTCTTCCAACACCTCCCACCCCCACTCACCACTGTCCAGTCCAGTTTCCCTTCCTAGATAAAGCCACCATTACCAGTTACTTGTGTATCTTTCAAAGATATTCTAAAGCAAGGTTTTAAAAAGAAATTATAAATTTCCATGTTGTTAAGGCAACTAGCAAGAGATCTTGATTTGCTCTTTCCCAGGTCCCATTTATACACTGATAAAATCAGGTAAGGGCGCAAAGGTAGAGCACAACAAAATAGGAATTGTGATCTGTCAGACCACAGAGTAATCTCCAGCAACCCAAACATAAGGATGGCCACGAGGAAGGTCCGTGGGGCCAGGCAGGACAGGAAGTAGGGTTATCTCAGAGGAGGAGGATAGGTGAGTTTCACCTTTTTCCTGGGGTGCAGAATTACAGTGCTCACTCATATCTGCTTCTAGGCCCATGGGAAAATTTTAGTTCCTTGACCCTTAACAATTAGGTGGGCCCATGTGGCTAACGGGCTATGAGGCCAAAACATTTAATTGCAGATGAGAGCCCTTCAGTGTCCTCTCCCCATCCGTGCCACAGGCAGTGAAGAGGCCATGTGTTCCAGATGGTCCAGCTTATGATGGTGGAGCCTCTGTTAACCTGGGTCCTTGTGACTGTGGAGAGCAAGGCCCCTGATGATTCATGATGGATGGACAGTGTGAGCAAAAATAAGTTTGTTGTATGAAGCTGCAAGGATTTTGTGATTATTTGTTATGGCCTATCTTGACTAATACAATTCCTTATAATCTCTGTACCCTTTGAAATTTTTTTTAACAGTTAGCATGTATCATTTATATTATTAGAATAAAAAAAAGCTATAGTAGAAAAAAGAACTTTGAAAAGCAACAATGCAAATGTCAGAAAATTGGTAAAATCAAAATTCAGTTTTCATATGAATACATTAATTGCTTTTGAATTGTATTGTTCTGATTTTCTCATATTTGCCTATATTGGAAAAGAAGGTCTTGATTCAGTGACCTAAGTTACCACCTTAAGAAAAAGAAGGGTGAATTAAACCCAAAGTAAGCTAAAGGAAGGATATAATAAAGAGCAGAAAACAATAAAATTTTAAAAACAAACAGAAAAACCAATGAACCAAAAGCTGGTTCTTTGGGGAAAAAAAAAAAACAATAAAATTGATAAACCTCCAGCCAAACTAAGAGAGAATTTTTTTTTCAAAATTAGGAAAAGAGGGGCCGGCCCCATGGCTTAGCGGTTAAGTGCGCGTGCTCTGCTACTGGGGGCCCGGGGTTCAGATGCCGGGCGCGCACCCACGCACCGCTTGTCCGGCCATGCTGAGGCCGGGTCCCACATACAGCAACTAGAAGGATGTACAACTAAGACATACAACTTTCTACTAGGGCTTTGGGGAGAAAAAGGGAAAAAAAGGAGGAGGACTGGCACTAGATACTAGCTTAGGGCCGGTGTTCCTCAGCAAAAAGAGGAGGATTGGCATGGATGTTAGCTCAGGGCTGATCTTCCTCACGAAAAAAAAAAAAAATTAGGAAAGAGAGGAACTCACTACAGATCCTTCAAACATTAAAAGGATAATAAGGGACTATTACAAATAGCTTTATTCCAATAAATGAGACAACTGTGATGAAACAAATTTCTGGAAAGACACTACCAAAACTCATTCAAAAAGATCCCTAAAAACCCCTATTAAAGAAACTGATTTTGCACTTAAAAACCTTCCCACAAAGAAAACTCTAGGCTCAGATGTTTTCATCGATGAATTCTACCAAACATTTAAGGAAGAAATACCAAACTTAAGAGAACAAAAGAGGAGAAAGACAGCTCCCAAGCCATTTTACAAGACCAGAATTACCCGGATACCAAAACCAAAGACATTTTAAGAAAACTACATTATAAATCAACATCCCTCAACAACATAGAGTCACAAATCCTTAACAAAATATTATCAAATTAAATCCCTCAATATATAGTAAGTAATATATCCTAATACATCACAGTCAATGCAAGCTTGGTTTAACATTAGAAAATCGATGTAATCACCATGTTAACAGAATAAAGGAGAAAAACTATACGATCATCTGAATAGACGTAGAAAAAGCATAAAATCCAACAACGGGGCCAGCCCGGTGGCACAGGGGTTAAGTTTGCACGCTCGGCTTGGGCAGCCTGGGGTTTGGGGGTTTGGATCCTGGGTGCGGACCTACACACAGCTCATCAAGCCATTCTGTGGCAGCATCCCACATACAAAGCAGATGAAAATTGGCACAGATGTTAGCCCAGGGACAGTCTTCCTCAAGCAAAAAAAAATCCAACATGATAAAAACTCTCGCAAACAAACAATAGAAGGGAACTTCCCAACTAGATAAAAAGCATCTATGAAAAACCTACATCTAACCTCATGCTTAGTGATGAAAGAGTGGCTATTTTCCCCCTAAGGCCAGGATTAACGCAAGGATGACCACCCTCCACTCCTACTCAATATTTTATTAGAGGTCCTAGCCAGTACAACATGGCACTAACAAGAAATAAAAGGCATGTAAACTGGAAAGAAAAGAAGTAAAACTGTATTTAATCATGGGTGATGTGATCATGTACTTAGAAAATCTAAGGAATCTACAATAACAGCTACTAAAACTAACAAGTGAATTTAGCAAGGTTACAGGCAAATTTTAAGAAATTGTATTTCTACATACTAGTGATAAACAATTGGAAAATTAAATGAAAACATTTACAATAGCATCAAAAATATGAAACATTTAGGGATAAATCTGATAAAGCACATGCAAGCACAGTATTCTGAAAATTTAAAATGTTACAGAAAGAAGATCTAAATGAGTGAAGACATACTATGGACTGGAAGACTTGGCAAGTGTTTTGTAGAAACTGGCAAGCTGATTCTACAATTTATATGGAAATATAAAGGACCCAGCAGAGCCAAAATGATTTTTAAGAACAAAAAAGTTGGACAACTTACACTACCTGATGGTAAGGCTTGCTATAGGGTACAGAAATAAAGAGAGTGGGATCAGCATAAGGGTAGTCCTATAAATCAATGGAACAGAAGAGGATCCAGAAACAGACCCACACATTTATGGTCAATTGATGTCCAACAAAAGTGCAAGGTAATTCAATGCGGGAAAGGATAGTCTTTTTTAAAAATGATACTGGAAAGTGGATATCCATATGGGAAAAATTAACTTTAATCCTTACGTCACACCATACATAAAAATAAATTCAAAATAGATCATAAGACTAAATGTAGAAGTGACACTGAAATTTCTAGAAGAAAATAGGAGAAAATCTTTGTGATGCTGGGTGGGTGTATTAGGTTCCCAGGGCTGCCACAACAAATTACCACTGGGTGGCTCAAAAGAACAGAAATTTATTCTCTCACATTTTTAGAGGCCGTAAGTCTGCAATCAAGGTGTCAGCAGAGCCACGCTTCCTTTGAAGGCTCTAAAGGAGAATCCTTCCTTGCCTCTTGCAGCTTCTAGGAGCTCCTGGCCTTCCTTGGCTTGTGGCAGCATCACACCAATCTCTGCCTCCATCTTTACATGGTCTCCTCCCGTGTGTGTGTCCTCTCTTCTTTTTGTAAGGACACTGGTCACAGGATTTAGGGCCCACTCTAATC